TTAATCTAATTATTCAATTTATGTTACCTGGGTATATAGGGTTGGTTTCAGCAGCTTGGGCGAAATACACATCAGTCGGAAAGCGCACGTTAAATCTCCAAAGTAAGTAAGTAAGCTTGGGTCATAACCATGGCGGGTTTAAGGTTAGTGGAGTATGTAACATCGCAGCGAGGCACACAACAGGTTCTTTTTTAGGTTACCTGTACAACAAGAGCACCACTCGAGAGAAGTGTCAACACTGGAGATGCATTAATAAAACCTGCAAAGGAAAATGTACAACAGTCGGAGACGGAATACATGTATCACAGACCACACCCATCCCCCTGAAGATATCGACCGTCTCGAGTTTGTGAGATACCAAGTTTGTGAGAAACTTGAGGAAGAGGGCCAGAGGGGAGACAACCCATATGCATGTTCCTTAGGTAACATACGGTAGACCATTCAGGGCATTCAGCCATGACCTATATTGATTTAAGGTGTGTGACAAATGGGACGTGTAACTAATGGGAGGATACCGCAGTGGTGACAAGGATCTGGCCATAGTGGCTAGTAGCATTCACCCGTTGAAGGAGCAAGAAGCAGCTCCGAAACGTCATACAAAGAATAAAAGAAGTGCTATCCATAAAAAAGTCTCATGTATTCATGTTCTCCTAACTCCAAAATGCCTATCAAAGACTTAACTACCAATTCTTTTAAATCAATGCAAGCCTGCATGACATCAAGGCAATATTTACAGAGGCAAACAAAAGCAACAAAACTCTGTCCATAATCATAAGAATTTTCTGCTGAAAGCAAAGTTCATTGTACGATTCCAATGGCTTCATGTGCATGTGTTTATGAATCACTGTCAAATAGTGATGATTCCAGATGTTCGCGAAAAGCTGAGCATATCCTGCCCCACCAATGGGCAGGACACCCATCACAAATACATGCAAAGGCAAGTCAATTGTTACCTGATAAAACATGTTAACATATGGTACAACTCAAAATAGGGAATTGCATCAGACATATTTTTTTCACTGATGCGTCAAATGTAGAAAATGTCCTCCACATGTCCACCATAACACTTTTTGAAAGCTTTGCTGTGGCCTTGAATGTTTGAAATTTTTGGCAAGAGTTGTATGACACTTTGAAATCTTTGAAGAAAGAGCAATCTCGATTGTAGCATGTCACGAATACTGAGTAATACAGTCATACAGACAATCTTAAGTTAATACAAAACATATTGCTATTACAATTTGAATTTACAATTTGTTTACAATTTCATCAAGGGGATGACTGTCCACCAGAATGCCTATTTGGCGAGATGGGATGTGAAGGAGATTAAAATAAAACATTTAGCTGAACTGACAACACTAATATTCCCAACTAAAATAGTTTAAACAAATACCAAAAACAGATAGGAAAAACAACATGTTCAAGCTGGTGCATTTAAAATATCTGTCTTTAATATCTAATCTGTGTCATATCCTTGTCTTCTCATTAAGATCATCTTAGACATTCTGGTATATACACATTCCAATGTTCATTTCACACGCCCTAGTTCCTATGAGACAATGTCAATGTGCCTGTAGTATGACAGAAAGAATGGGACTGTTTAAAGCAACACCTGTTGCATCTATTCATTACAAACAATTTACAAGAAACAAATAACTACTGAACTGATCACTCAGGGATACTTGCACTAACCAGATGACACAACATGGCATGCAGGTATAAAAAATATATACCATAACCTCCACACTCTTCCATGCTAAGAGTACTAGCGTTAAGAGTAATCAGCTGTTTTGTGTGATTATTTCACACAGAGCTTGCAGTAAACTCATTGTTACTCTACACATCATTTTAAGTTTGTTGTTGCACAAATGTTAATAATAAACCAAAAATGTGTGGAAAAAATATCTGTTCCCGTAATTCCTACATTCCTATGTGGTGTCAACCTACTGGACTCCTTCGCTCGATGTGTGAAAACTGATGTGACATGAACTCAGATAAACCCACAGGGTAACATCACCCTCAGTGTTAACACTTTTTGTACATATATTCCACTGTCTTGAGAAGATCTCTACTATCACACTACCCAGTAAGTGCTTGCTGAAATTCCACAACTCTTATCAAACCATTTTTCCAATCTGTCAAAAATAAATTAGGTCAGTTTCCTAACTGGAGTGTAGTTTGCGTTCAAACATTTCCACTGGGTCACGCTGGCTGTGAGGTGTAGAGACCTGTGCACGAGATTACCTGGGGCTGATGCAACTAGCAGGCAGCATAATGAACAAGCTACCTCTGTCTCAGATTTCTATACAAATGTATTTAATCAGTTAATGTATGTTTTATACATGTCATTGTGGGAGATTGGACAAAATCTATTACCGGTAATGACTTGTAATGGCGTACAATTCATACAAAACATACTGGCCTTGACATACACATAACATATATATGTATATAGTGGGGAGATTCACTAGTGTACAGTAGCATATATATAAAGAAATTCACAAATAATTACACAACACAAATTGTTCTCCTACATGTTTCAGCTTTATCTTCAGGGAGAAGTGATAACAGTTACTGATTATGTTATGACGTCACTATGTAGGAGAACAATTCGTGTCGTGATCCATGATCACAGGTTCCTAGCATGTCTAAGGGACGCAACTCTGCACAACGAATTGTGGCTACTCAGCTGAGCTACCTGTTGCTTCATTAATGCAGCAAAAAGTATTTCGTCACACCTGGGGCCTGACCTTGTTCAGTTTGTGAGACAGTGCATATCCTCCTGTTGAGGACAAAGCTATGCTTATATACCTACACTTCAGACTCATGATGATGAATCTGTGTGAGGCAACCAGCTCAGAATAGGTCACCAGCAGGCTACACTGGTCGTAAGAGGTGACGAACGGGATTGGGTGCCAGGCTTGGTGACTTAGTTAATGCATGTCATTGTATCCAAATTGCATAGATCAATGCTCATAATGTCAATCACTGAATTGTCTGGTCAATATTCGATTATATACAGACTGCTGTCATACAGCTGAAACATTGCTGAGTGCAGCAAAAAACAACAGAAAACAAACATAATTATGAAAGTCGGTCTCTCTGATATTGTGTGTTTTATTGTTTAACATGGATTCAGCAGTATTTCAGCGATATGACGATGGTCTGTAAATCCAGTGATTGATATTATGAGCATAGATCCACACCGTCAGGGTACATTGACAAGCGATTACCGAGCCCGACTACCCCGTCCTTTAAGTAGCATCCTAGACCTGCATAGGTTGCTGGGGTTCAATTCTAACCCGCTGATAAAAAAAAATAACACAGTACTTTATTATCCAAATGTAAAGGACTTTGCCTTTATAACATTCATAGTGGCTAAAAACATGACATACAAAATCAAAAAAATATATAATATGTAATTGATTTTGTCGGTGGTGCTGCACTTCTATTATTTTCAGATGGAATATTAGTTTATATTTATTATACTACCTGATGTTGGTTTTTATGATAACAGCTTGCCAGTCAAAACTGATGAATACAGGTTTTCAGAACTGGCAGGATATTTCTAGTTCTTGTGTAAAAGACACACAATCAGAACATTCTAAACACCATTAATAGACTGAAAAACTTGATGTCTCAACACAATGGCTTTCTAATACTGTCTAAATCTGAGAACAAAACTGCATCACTGTCACTGTCTTAACCTCCTGGCACTAAAGCAGGGACAGGTAACATGGGTACTCGGGTCGGGTGGGTCTTGAGTAGGGCCTTGGTACCCACAAGACTACCCGGATCCGTGGTTAGTCAAGTGATTATATTGTTTAATGGCAAAAATTATCTAGAACTCTATGGTTACATTATTAGTGAGAAATGTTCACATTTCTTTCTCACAATGCACACATTCCTTCTGACTTTATATGTTTGAATTAAGTAAAACTTTAGTCAATTTCAGTGTATGCATGATCAAATCGTTTTATACCTGTATCTAAATACATTTTGACAGGAGTACCGTCAAACTATTCCCAATCGGACATTTTATACTATCTCTTGAGACCTAAAAGGGGTACCCGAGTAGTGTCGGGTAATAGGGGGTTGGGTACCTGGGTAGTAAATTTTGTCTCGTCCCAGCCCTACCTGGCACCACAATTTCCGGAAACGGGTAGCCTTTAAAAAGGCCAGTCTGGTGCACAGCATGCCGGTTGAGTTGTAAAAAGAGTTAAGAGCTTGCTAAGCCCCCAACCCTACCAAATAGATGATAATTGAATTATCACTATGATGCCTGCAATTCAGTTCATCATAATGGTACAAGATGTTTTAATTCATTCTTTGACATTATCTGAAATACCAAAATAGCTCGCTGCTCAAATTAGTTTCCTCAGAATATATTGTGACAGAGAAACATAGGGTGATGCAGCATCATAAACTTTATGAATGTTTTCCAAGGTCACAGACTTGACACAAAATATTTCACTATTACCCAATTATTTCTATGGGAGGCTCAGAACTACAAACTCATATGAATAAAAACAGGTAGGGCACACTCCTAATAGCATACAAGCAAACACTAAGACTCTTCACTGTGTGTATATGGAGGGATCTAGATTGGGGGCCAACTGTCTACAAGCAAACACTAGGACCACAGGTCTACTCAGCAGTGCCCTATCTTAACTCGGTGTGGAGGGATCTGGATGGGGCCCCTGCAAGCAAGCACTAGGACCACAGGTCTACTCAGCAGTGCCCTATCTTCAGTGTGTGTGTGTATGGAGGGATCTAGATGGGGCCCCTACAAGCAAACACTAGGACCACAGGTCTACTCAGCAGTGCCCTATCTTCACTGTGTGTGTATGGAGGGATCTGGATGGGGCCCCTGTAAGCAAACACTAGGACCACAGGTCTACTCAGCAGTGCCCTATCTCCACTGTGTGTGTATGGAGGATTCTGGATGGGGCCCCTACAAGCAAACACTAGGACCACAGGGCTATTCAGCAGTGCATCATTACCTTCACTGTGTGTGTATGGAGGAACCTCCTGCTGCATTGTTTCCCAATAGGAGTTCTAAGTATTACATTCACACAGTTTTTCTCCCCTTCTTCTGGTTCATCAGGTAGCTTTATCACCTGTGAGACAAAAACAAAATACTTTTCATGTATCCTCAAAATATTACATTTTGATATCATTAAACAGACAGAAACTGAAATTGTCCTAAATCCATCAAGATTAAATTTACAGAATCAAAAATTGTTCTAAAAGCAGTGGGTACTACTGGACAGAACCAGTCCCTAGTAACCTATGCTTGCAGTAAGAGGAGATTTAAAGGATCAGGTGATTAGATTCAGTGTCATTGTACCCGACGTCATGACGTCGTTACTGAAAATATGAACCACTGGCTTTCATAATCTGACCCTGACTCAGCTATATTAAGGTCATCGCGATACACATGGAACACTGCTTACTGTGACACTGAACAACAAAACAACTCTTGCTGATTTAGCCTGACCAAGTGACCATTGACCAACATAATATTTCCTTATTTGGCTAGGTATGAAACATTACAGTATTTTATAAAAACCAAATTTCATCTTCATTTCAAGTTATAGTCCTGAAACTAGTCCAGGTCAGTGTAGGTCATGGTCATTTGACATCTGAACTCGTTAATATTGACTGGACTCACCATGTGTCTGTACATAGGATATCTACTGAAGGAACTGAGATAGATTGTGTTTAAGTTGTCATCCAGATGACTCAGTTGTGCTGTCATAATTTTACAGATATATAATTCCTCATATTTTATTCTTTCCATTTTGTCAGCCATGTTAACCATGACGCATGTATCATGAGTGAGTTGGGTTTAATGCCGCTTTTAACAGTATTCCAGTTATATCACTGGGAGGAAAGCACGAAGTGATGCAGATCTCAGACGTTTACCACTTTAGTGAAACCAACAAGCACGGGTATGGGGCTGACAAACCTAGAAACATAATCGGGGTGAACCAGGATTCGAACCCAAAATCATAAGTTTCTGGTGTGCCCAAGGAACGCAACTCTGCACAGCGAATCGCGGCACCTAAGACGACTGGGCCACATGTGCCCCAATTCTTTGCAAATGTCACTATACATTGATGTTATCATAAATCATAGTACTAAATCATAGTACTAGTACTAAAGTAGTAAACTATGACTTGTAATTAAATGCTGATCTTAACTAACACTTTATTGGTTTGTATTGAGAAATCTGAGAAAGGTAATTCTGAGGCCCCCAACGCCCTTTGGTACAGGGACTATTTGGAGAGTATTCGGGACTCACCAGTGTGGTACACAGGATGCAAAAAAGATCATAGTTGGTATGCAGATTTAACATTGAACAAAAAAGATTTTCTTTATGTATTTTGTTTTTTGATATTTATTAGGGGCGGTCAGGTAGCCTAGTGGTTAAAGCATACGGTCGTCATGCCGAAGACCCGGGATTGATTCCCGACAATGTGTGAAGCCCATTTCTGGTGTCCCCTGCCGTGATATTGCTGAAATATTGATAAAAGCAGCGTAAAACCATACTCACTCACTCACTGATATTTCTTAAAACAATTAACTACATTTAAGTAAATCGGACCCTGCCTTTGAGATTTGCGCAAAGTAGTATTCAAGATTCAGGGGTAAGCAATGAGACAATGAGAAATTAGATGGTATTCAGGATTCAAGGGATTAGGGGGTTGGCACATTACAGGGAAGTACCCTGAAACAAGCAGCTTTCAATAAACATTTAACATTCTTTAATGTTGTGTGTTCAGGAGAGTGGTCATGAAAACATTGGTCCCTGGTCCCTTTCTACATAACAGACTTCTCTGCACTATTCCAAAGCCTAACACATCCCCTACTTCAGTGTTCATACATTCAGGACTAACAAAAAAACGTTGGTGGGGAATAAAGGGTTTTATGCCACACAGAAAAGTGCATGCAGTATGCACAAATATATGGAATGGACACAGAAAAAAATATATATTGCGTCCAAAGGGACACATAATAATATTTATTGTACAAATTCTTGACAAAAAATATGAAGGTCCTGTAATTAAAGTATTTATCAAATCCTTCAGTACAGTACACTTCACTATTTTATTATTCTACAGAGCCCATATATTTCCTGTAAGGACCCTTGAAATTAGTAATTAGGGGTCCTCTGGACCCCTAGTTTTATAGGTCAAGGTTAAACCTTGTTGTCAGATATTAAATTATCAACATGTTCTGAATGTTTTCATACTTGTTTTCAGCAACATGTATTTTTGCTAAAACTAAAGTGAAATACTATCAGTTTTTATTCATTTTATCAAACATATAGAAAATATTGAGCAACATCATAAAAAACGTTTGACATATTATGTTGTCCTCCATGGGTTGCCCTGAACTGTGACAGTCCTGCCAGTCATTACTTACTGGTTTAGCTTTCACTGTCTTGGTCTTGACTTCCCCGGGTGATGATGTGGGTTCTTCCAGCAGCTTTCTCCGGCGTGCTGCACTCCTATTGGGTGGACTTTCCCCGCCCACACCAGCACTGTCAGATTCCTTGCTATCAGCACCCTGACAGACAGAGGGAGTAATATCATTCCTGTTCATCAGTGAGCTCAATCATCTATCATCTTATGTCTACAGAGGATGGTTTGTTTGTTTGTTGTTTAACACCGCACTCGCCATTATTCCAGCTATATGATGGCGGTCTGTAAATAATCGAAACTGGACCATACAACTGAGTGATTAATATCATGAGCTTCAATCTATGCTATTGGGATATGATTTCATGTATCAACCAAGTCAGTGTGCCTGACCGACCGACCCTGTTAGTCACCTCTTACAACAAGCAAAGTCTCCTTTTTCGGCAAGCACTGGTTGCTGAAGACCTATTCTACCCCGGATCTTCACGGATAAGAAAGATGTTGTGAGGAACTTGGCAGTTATAGCAGAGTATCTCTTGTTAACTTGTTAAATGCTGCATTGAACAATAATCAGTAGTCATGGACATTTACACCTGGTGAAACCCACAGTTAGAGTGCATGGGGTATAGGCAACTTGCCCTCCTGACAGGTATTCAGACATCAGTGACCATTGCAACAATAGTTAAGGTGAATGATTAACTAAACAAGTGGTCGTTCTGATATTTCACGTACCCCTAATGAGTGACCTTGACCTTTCCAGGCTGGTCCTAGAAACTTTTCAAATTCTTCCTCTTTCTGCACCCTTTTGGCTTCCTCCCTTGGTGCCAGAATACGTTCCTTGTAGCTGTTAGCCTGGCCAAAATACATCACATGTCTACACAGGTTATCCATATCAGCCTACAGATGAATAGCAGAAACAATAAATATCATGACACACAAAGACACACATACACAATATATGAGTGAGTATTGTTTTAGGCACTTTTAGCAATATTCCAGTGACATCACGGAGGGGTACAACAGAAAAGGGGTTCACAAAGGGTACCCATGTGGGGAATCGAACCCGGGTCTTCGGCGTGACGAGTGAAGACTTTAAAATTTAGGCTATCCCACCACCCCGCAATATATGGAGAAATGAAACATTCATGAATATCAACTTTTTTTTATTGTTTGTAACATTTCAGGACTTTTCCTTCTACCTTTGTTAGGTCCTTTCATTCAAACTCCTAAATGCCTATCAAAGACTTGATTCACAGTACAAACTATTCAGCTTAAAAATAACTCAATATTGTTTGTTTGTTGATTTACGCTGCAAGCGTCAATATTCCAGCTATATGACGGCAGTCTATAAATAATCGAGTCTGGACCACAGAATCCAGTGATTGACATCATGAGAATTGATTTATGAAATTGGGATACAATGACATGTATCAACCAAGTCAACGAGTCTGACCACCCGATCCCATTTGTCACCTCATACAACAAGCAAAGTCGCCTTTTTCAGCAAGCATGGGTTGCTGAAGACCATTTCTACCCCGGATATACACAGGTCAACTGAATATTGAGACACACAGCCACTTACAAAATATCATTTATACTAAGTTTCTATCCACAACCACGTACATGCCAACTTTACATTCATATTTATATCCTACCTTTTGTGTATGCTCTTGTTGTAGCTTCTGCCTCATTCTGGTCTTCCTCTCTTCATCTGAGTTATCTCCCCTTCCTGAATTTCAAAGAAAAGTATTCTTAGGTTCTGTGAGTGAGTGAGTTGGGTTTAACACCCGTTTTGGACAACTGTTCCAATACAATCCTTCATTCTGGAGGAAACCCTAGGTCATCCAGATCTAATTTGAAACCAATAAGCACAACTATTGTGCTGACAAATGATTCCATGTCAGTCTTGGATCTTCGCATGTCTAAGAGGCACACTTCACACAGTGAATTACTTCTTAGAGAATTTCTCCCACACAATATGTACAATGTCATTTGACTGGACAAATGCTTTTAGCGTTCTGTCGCTCGAATCAAGATTGTAAAAGAAGCTAAGGTAGTGAATGAATGAAAGGTATTTGTCACAATACAATGGAGACTTGTTATAAAATTGGAATTAAAAGCGTCAAATCTATGAGCACATAAGATCCCTGTCTCTGCCAGGTTGTGATGAGCTGATATCATCACTCCGAAGGCCTCTCATGTCAGCAACACCAGAAGGATCCATGATAGGCCATCCAAAGTTTTGTGTTTGTTTCTCATGGTGATGTAACGATACGTCGATACAGTATTCGATCCCGAAACAAGGCCCACAATACAATACATCAATTTACAACCCCTGTATTACCATATATAAGATACAACAGATTTCAAGATATATTGGTGTAAAAACAAGTGAATAATAAGAGAAAATGTTCAACAACCTGCATAACCAGATTCTCCAGTATTTCCTGGTTAGCTATAAATAGTATAATATTCACAGTGCCCTCTACCAATATGTTTCAGCCCTATAATATCTCACCTTCGATCTCTTAAATTTTAACAACAATTGATTCACCTGCAAAAAGAAAGACTATCAGCTTATGAAGTTTAAGTTCTGTATCGGGATACAAATCATATTGCACCCTAAGTATCAGGATATGTATCATATCGAGACTGCACCTTATTCTTACACCTCTAGTTTCTCATCTCCAACCTTAACCAGCAAGAGGGGGCGGGCAAAAGAATATATATATTTTAAGATATTTTAAAGTCTAGAATACTGTAAAGTGAAATATGTCACCATTAGGTGTCTTACTAGCTTGCAGGACCGCCTCCATGGTCTAGTGGTAGAGCGTCCGCCCGGAGAGCAGATCCCCGGCCGCGTCATACCAAAAGACTTTAAAAGATGGTTCTTGTTGTTACCCTGTCTGGCATGGACATTAAGGGGCTAAAACAAGGACTGGTCGGCTCGGAGTCAGTATACTGTGTCTGAGTGAGGTATTTATGTTAAAACTGCGGCATGGTATCTCATTGAGCTAGCACTATAAATCGGGATCAGTCCAGACTAGTACCAGCAGCCACATTAACACACACACGTACATGCACGTCGCTATATAAGTGCAAAAATCTTGGACGCGACATTAAACCCCATTTCACCTCACCACCACCTCAAAGCCTGCATGTGACTCAACCCAAAAAGTAATAGACTCCATACTTTACAACAGAGAAACTGTAATCCCAAATATAACCAGAAATAGAACAGAATGTATTCAATGTTCAAATAACAATACATTGCATTGTGAAATACTCTTCACGCCTTACAATGTCCTTGTATGTACTTAAGAATCGACTTTCACTTTGTGTGAGTTCATTGGAGTGTGAGCCTTCATAGAGTGAGGGCCAAACTGTTAAACATCGGAGCTGGAGAATCATGTTAATGCCTTCAGGTCAAGTCTTTCTATAGTCTGGAAGGTAATTTAAGGTACCGACGTTTACTGCAATATCTGAAAAACTATTGGGCCTACTCCAGTCAAAGTTGGTATGAGATTATTAAACAGTCATACATAACTGGATATTACATTTAAGACAATCGGTGCATGAATAAAAAATATGTCTATTCAGATATCACTATATTTCATCAACAACCAGACCTGTTTGTCATGCATTGAAACAGGCAACTGCAAAATGCTACCCCTGCGTCACAGGGCCATATGACACAGTTGAACCAATCAACTCAACTCGAAAGGCTGCACGGGAATCACCCACTTAGCGTTGGGCGTCTCAACGTGTGTGATTCCCTGGGAGTAGGTCAAATAGTTTTTCAGATATTGTAGTAAACGTCGGTAGCTTAAATTACCTTCAAGACTATATGTGAGGCTGAAAACTTATCAATCACCCCCTGTACTGGAGTCAGGATCACTAAAATTGCATTCTGGAACAGGAGCCCTGATGATGTTTAAACTTATCAATCATATGTAGGAAGACAGACGGTCAACCATTTTCACCTGCTAAATATATGTTGACTACTACTATCTAAACTATCTTGCCACTCAGCCATAAGATGATATGATTCACAGTGCACTGTACTCAGTGTTACAATGCCTTTCACACCATCAACAGGCTCGTATTAATTGAGCCCTTTGGGATGGTTCATTGACGATGAACTGTGCCCTGACATGCTTCATAAACTCGCAGATCTGGAGGGAGGGTGCAGGGATGCGTACACCCTCTTTTGGAAACAAACTAAACATTCAGATGCTTCATAGGTGACCTAGACTGCCTCCGTGGTCAAGTGGTAGAGCGTCCGTCCAGAGAGCGGAAAGTTGGGGGTTCGATCGCCGGCCAATTCATACAAGAAGATGTTAAAAGATAGTACTTGTTGTTACCCTGCCTGATGCTTGGCATTAAGGGGCTAAAACAAAGACTAGTCGGCTCGGAATCAGTATACTGTGTCTGAGTGGGGTATTCATGTTAAACTGCAGCATGATATCTCAGTGGGCTAGCACTATTAATCGGCATTAGTGTGGACTAGTATAAGCAGACACACACACACACACACACACACACACACACACACACACGTGCATGCAAGTTGCTATATAAGTCCAATAATCTTGAATGCGCCGTTAAATCCCATTTCACCTCACCTCCTAGGGGACGTAACAACTAACTGACATAGTTTCAACAAAATGACATGATAATAAGAAAAACGGCCATATCCATAAAGCTATATCTGAGTCAGGTACTTTGCAACAGGGTGCCATTATTGAACTTCAGACCCTCCATTCTAAACCGGGGCGGTCAGGTAGCCTCGTGGTTAAAGTATTTGATCATCACGCCGAAGACCCGGGTTCAATTCCCGACATAGGTACAATGTGTGAAGCCCATTTCTGGTGTCCCCCGCTGTGATATTGCTGGAATATTGCTAAAAGCGGCGTAAAACCATACTCACTCACTCACTCCATTCTAAACCCCATTACACTCGGCTCCAGATAAGGTGAGGTCAATTAAACATAATTGTGTCTATTTACAGGTATTACGGTATTATGGTAGGTATTATGGTATTATGGTAGGTATTACAGTATTATGGTAGGTATTACGGTATTATGGTAGGTATTACGGTAGGCAGAGAGGCAACCCATGATGCTTACGAATGCAGCAACCCCTGCCCTGTAACTCAGGTAATCGGGTCGGGTGGGTACTGCGTAGGCCCCGGGTACCCACAGGACTACCTGTGCCCCCATTATGGTAGGTATTACGGTAGACAGAGAGGCAACCCATGATGCTTACGAATGCAGCGACCCCTGCCCTGTAACTCAGGTACTCAGGACAGGTGGGTACTGAGTAGGACCCGGGTACCCACAGGACTACCCGGACCGGTGGTTAATCACATGATATATTGTTTTATGACAAAAATTATCTAGAACTAGATGGTTACACTATAAGTGACTAATGTTTGCATTTCTTTCTGACTATACACGCATTCCTTCTGACTTTCTATGTTTGAATAAAGATAAAACTTCAGTTTATGCATGACCAAATCGTTTTATACGAGTATCTAAATCCATTCTGCCAGGGCTACGTGTACCAAAATACATTTTGCCAGGGCTACGGTCAAACTATTCCCAATTGGACATTTGGACGTATCTCTTGAGACCTACAGTGGGTACCCGGGTAGGGTCAGGTAATATGGGGTGGGTACCCGGGTAGTAAATTGGGACTCGTCCTAGCCCTACCCTGTGACTACCATTGCCAAGCCACCCATGTTTCTATGCTGCTAGCAAAGCCAGGCAAGTACTTTTGATAAAATGTCATTAATATATATCATTAATGTGAATGAATATGATACACATATCTACAATTCTGCAATACAATTATATATCACCTAAATGGGAGAAAAAATTGTTCTCAATTATATACTACATATAATTGGTCAGTTACTATTTCACAAGTGCATCCAGCTGTTGTAACATGTTGTGTTCTCGTCCATGGCTTCTAGATACTTGGTCAACATACACACAGTTTTAACCCTGAGACTGGGATAACTCCAATACTCACTGCTTGCATCCAAGCAGCCATGGCAGCCGTTGTACAAAACAATCTTAGCCCTAAGACTGTCATAAGTCTATGTTAATGCATGGGAGTCTAGAACACCTTAGCCCTAAGACTGTCATAAGTCTATGTTAATGCATGGGAGTCTAGAACACCTTAGCCCTAAGACTGTCATAAGTCTATGTTAATGCATGGGAGTCTAGAACACCTTAGCCCTAAGACTGTCATAAGTCTATGTTAATGCATGGGAGTCTAGAACACCTTAGCCCTAAGACTGTCATAAGTCTATGTTAATGCATGGGAGTCTAGAACACCTTAGCCCTAAGACTGTCATAAGTCTATGTTAATGCATGGGAGTCTAGAACACCTTAGCCCTAAGACTGTCATAAGTCTATGTTCATGCATGGGAGTTACGATCACCTTAGCGATAATATCACTTGGTTCAACAACGCCTGTTCAAAAAGTATATCACAGAAACATAGGGCAGTAGTGTTAAAAGTTCGATCCCAGCAAGGCTATAGTTCTATATCCATATCACAGCTATGCTACAGACAAACAAATAAGGGAACTGATGAAATGATAGTGAAGTTATTATGACAAAAATGTCTGTAAAAGGAATTTTGGGCATGTAGATTAATGTCTCATGTGTCCACCATGTTTGGCGATACATGCACGACTCCTCTGTGGCATACTGTTGAT